CATTTCGCACAGAACAGAATTCAGTCAATAATTCCACCCTGTATAATACATTTTGATAAATACCTTTTAAAGTGCTTCCATCTGAAGCTACCCGACGTTGCGCTTCTTTAGAAAAGTGCTGACAGTCTTGAGAGAGAAAAATCAATCCTCTTTATTCCACATTCCAAATAGCCTATTCTCTCCCCAAACTAGGACAGTGTTCTTAGCGTTGCATGAATGTCTGGCAGTTTTCTGATATATGCAAGGCTGAATATGACCAAATGTTTGCTTCTGCCTCCGGCGCTCGTCATAACTTCTGCTCTTTCCTGTGGAGCTTGAAGATTACTGCATCAGCCTGCTGAGCTGACCTGCAGGAAAAAATGCAGCTGGGTTTTTTTCCTGAAAAGATGGATTTCTCCATGGAGGGCGTGAGAAATGGATGTCGACATGGAACCAGCGAGGAAGAGATTCATAAGGCAAGTGCTACTTGCATACCATTCAACAAGAACTAGGCTGCCTTTTTAAAACAGAGCCAGTCCAGGAGGATGCCATTGCTGATGGTATCAAAAGTCAACAGGAGATAAGAAACCGGAGCAAAGTCACACTCCTTCTGTCCCAGTCTCTGCAAATATTTGGATACCATTTAGATTTGGATCTAAATAATCTCTGCCATCCAAGAATGCTTGTAGTGGCCCTACCACAACCCTCTCCTTTCCTCAAAGGGGTATATTTGATGGGGATTGATAGTTGCTTCAGTCTAAAGGGTCCAGAGCTAATTTCTTTGGGAACAACCATACCACTGCCTCTTTCAAAACAACAGGGACCACCCCTCATGCAATGAAGCATTAGCCGAGGTTAGGCTTAAAGGTGAAGGGTAAAGGGACCCCTGACCATTAGGTCCATTCGTGGCCGACTCTGGGGTTGTGGCGCTCATCTCGCTTTATTAGCCGAGGGAGCTGGCGTACAGCTTCCAGGCCATGCCGGAAGCTGTCATGGCCAGCATGACTAAGCCGCTTCTGGCGAACCAGAGCAGCGCACGGAAACACCGTTTACCTTCCTGCCGGAGCAGTACCTAATTATCTACTTGCACTTTGAGGTGCTTTCGAACTGCTAGGTTGGCAGGAGCAGGGACCGAGCAACAGGAGCTCACCCTGTCGCGGGGATTTGAACCGCCGACCTTCTGATCAGCAAGCCCTAGGCTCTGTGGTTTAGACCACACTGCCACCCACGTCCCTTTGGGGTTAGGCTTAATTTTCTCCAAATCATATCAGAGACTATTTCTCAGGACAGTCCCAAGCAGCATGGCATACTGTTGAACATATGGTTCAGGAGTTTTAGTCCAAAACATCTGGTGGGGGTGCCAAGTTGGAGAAGGTTCAACAAAAGCATGCCCGAAGAGCACCATTTCCAGTACTGGAAAGGCTGGAAAGGAGTTTAGTGAGCCTCCTCTGCCATGAGTTACTTTTCCGCTGATGGTCAACACTAGCTCACCAACAGGGGTCGCAAAGGAGGATCCATTTGGACAGACTGTAGGCTTTGTTGTAGTACACATGCTTTGTATGCGGTAGGTCCAAGATTTAATCCCTGGCACCTGTCTCCAGAAGGGCTGGGGAAAAGCCAGTTCTGAAACCCTGGAGAACCACTGTCTGCCAGTCTTCAGCTTGTTGCTCTCCTTTTCAATTGCAACTCCTATATAATTCCTAAATACACACCATGCTAACTGGGGATAATGGGAGTTGTAATCCAAAACATCTGGAAGGTCTCAAGCTGTGGAAGGCTGGTGTAGGCAATCCTGAGCTAAACCGACCAATGGTCTGACTTGGTGTAAGGTAGCTTCCTGTGTTCCTAGTACGTAGGACTTCACATACATACCACCCATCATAGAGCCAGGCTAGTAAGCACTATCACAATCACTGCTTGACTGCCACAGAATGGCTTTTGAGTGCCTATTCAGCTCCATTTTTAGAAAGCTAACTTGAGATCAGTTACATACCCCAACTCCTGTTCTCACCAGCTCTCGCTTGTGCCATTGTCGCTCCCCCAGACTCACATTTCAGAAGTCTGATTATATCTTGTGACTTGTTGGATGCCTGTAAATTACCCCTTTGCATGGTGACCCTGGGGTATTGTAAGTATTGCTGAGCTTTTTATCATCATAACTCTGGTTGACACCAGCCTTTCATCAGCATTAGATAAATTGACATTGAATTAACCTCTTACCAGTGAAACCATGGAAATCGTTTTTCATCAATGTTCCTGCTCCTCGGAGGTGTTTGCTTGCCGTCGGAAGCCCCCAGCATCAGTCTTCTTTCCATCAAAGGTACGGTAATAATTAATTTTTCTGTGCTTTGGGGGTTTGGGTTTATTTCTTAGACAAACAGAACAAACATTGTCAGAATTTATTTTCAGTTACTTTTCTCATCTCCGCAGCTCTGCAGCTTTGATAAAAGGATCTCATCTCCATGGGTTGCCTTTAATCTACTTCAATAAAATGTGAATAATCTCATCAACACCTTTGGAGACTTAACTCCACCCAGCTGGAACACAGGGGCTCTCTGTTGTGGTTGCCAGGCAATGCTGCAGTAGATGTTCAACCCTTACAGGAGAAAATATTCTTACTGGTAACTGGTGGAAAAAATGTTGATGGCCTGGGTTGGGTTCTGAGGTCAGGAAGCTTGTGTATCCCTTAACCGTGGGATCCTGATTACATCAACCAGAACTATCCAGAAAGTGTGGTTGATGACGGTCCAAACATTTCCTGCAACATAGTGCAATCCCCTATGGCCTATACAATGGAGTAAGCCTCACTGAATACTTACTGTTGTGTAAACATGCATAGGGTTGTTTGCTAGCCAACAGAGGTCCAGCAGCTGTCTCCAAACAACTCACAAACAAGGTACAAAAAATACTTCTTTCTTGATGTTTACCCCACTACCTGATATTCAGTGAAGTTTTACTCAGTGCAGACCTCTTGAAATTAGTGAACATGTACCGTATTTTTCCGTGTATAAGACTATATTTTTTCCTAAATTTTTGAAGTTTAAAATAAGGGGTTGTCTTATACACGGATAGCGCATAGTGCATTTTCTTAATTTTGGGTTTTAAAAAATAGGGGTCGTCTTATACATGGGGGCTTCTTATACATGGAAAAATACTGTATATCCTGTTCATTATACATGTTTATTGATTTCAGTTAATGATATACAATGAAATGCTATACAGTGAATTGAAAAGGATGTTCAAAATAACTTTTGTAAAAAACAACAACCAGAAGCTTTGCTTTAGGACTTATAGGGACAGAACTACCTAAATTGTATAGAAGTTTATTATGTATGCTACTACAGCAGCAAGAATGCTACTTGCCCCAAAGTGGAAAGAAGCAGAAGTCCCAGCAAAGGAAGAATGGATACAAAAACTGATGGAATATGCAGAAATGGCAAAACTTACTGGAAGAATAAGAAATCAAGATAACAAACCGTTTATAAAAGAATGGAAATGGTTTATTGAATATTTACAGATAAATTGCAAACAGATAAAAACATTAGCAGGTTTATTATAATAACCTGCAGTTACTAAAAAACCTGCAGATATTAAAAAATAAATTTAAGGAACTGCAGAAAGAGGGGGAAGTCAAATTTTGAAATGTTAAATTGATTATAAAACCAATGAAATGTATATACTTGAAAAGTATAAACAAAAGAAAAGAAAAGAAATCAATGAGCACGACTAATTTCCGTTAATTTCAATAAGACTGCTGTGGATAAAACTTGGTTGAATACCAACCAAGTTGTTTTTCCACAGTGTATGACATTTCACAGTTGATCTCGTCTGCCTTTGGAGGGGGGGGAGTCTACTAACCATGTGTGGAAAACCAAATAAGATTTCCCTTCAACACTCCCCTTTTTAAACTAAAGGCAGGCCTGCCTGGCTTAAGGTTAGTAATACAGTTTCACCTTCATAAAAATATGGGGAAACTTTTTTGTACTTGCTATGTACTTGTTTCCCTTCAATATGCACTACTACACTATCAATTAATTGAAACAGGAACTTTTGGCCCAAGTGTCCCTATTTTCCAGGGATGTCCCTGATTTAGAGAAGCCGTCCCTATTTCTGATGTGATCCTGGAATGTTTCACTTTTCCTTTGGGCATCCCTATTTTTGTTGGAGGGTATGGAGTTATCTGACCCTGAGCCATCTGAAGGCAATCCTTTATAGGGAAGTTATTTGAATGTTTAATGTTTTATTATGTTTTTACATATGTTGGAAGCTGCCCAGAGTGTCTGGGGCAACCCAGTATGATGTGTGGGGTATAAATAGTAGAGTTATTATTATGGAATGTGATGTCCCTGTTTTCACCAGAGAAATGTTAGAGGGTATGTTATAGACATTTGTGTAGTGTAGCAGCATTACAGAGTGTACATGTAATATTTTGGTTCATGAGTGGGTACATTTTGCCGCACATGCTATTTGGGGAAATTCTCCTTACTTCCAGACAATACAGATATCTGGCTTACTGCAGAATTACACATACAATGCAGTAGCTCTCTCAAAAGTCCACACAGACCATCCAACTACCCTGATATGTGTGGTAAATACATAAGCATGACTTTGCACAAACAGAACAGTGTAAAGTACAGTTGTGGCTGACAGAAAACCTCCAGGTTAGATTACCTCAATAAATTTCTGAAGATGGTTGGAAACTGCAGCTCAGATTTCAGTAGCTGACTGGGGCAAGACAACCCGAGCATCACCAATCTTAGTATGACTGCACGGACCCCTCTCCATGTGCTCTCTCTGGGAGGTGTGAGAGGTGATGACAAAAAAATCTGGCCTTTTCAGCTCCCAATCTGTGGAACATTGTCTCCACTGAAGAACGTCTGGTGCCATCAATTGCTTTTAGGTGACAGGTAAAAATGTTTTTATTTATCCAGAAGTTTGATCCTTAATTTGGAGGGTATCTAGTCATATGCAGCCTCTTGTTGTGCTCATCCTTTAAGTGAGATGGGGAGGATTTGCTCCACACACACACACACACACACACACACACACACAGAGAGAGAGAGAGAGAGATACAATTTGGATTAGCACTTTAGGCCTTGTTTTATTTCTGGTGTGTGTGTGTGTGTGTGTGTGTGTGTATACAGTGGAATCTCAGTTGTTGAATGTAATTGGTTCTGGAAGACTTCCAAAACGTTCGACAACTGAGGCGCAATTGCTGGTTGGCAAAATCCATTGAAAAAATGGAGAAACGCACCTTGGAAGCCGTTCAACTTCCAAGGCATGTTCAAAAACGGAAGCATTCACTTTTGGGTTGTTGGCGTTCGAAAGCTGAAACGTTCGACTTCCGAAACGTTTGACAACCGAGGTTCCACTGTACCTTAAATGTTTCCTATTATTTTCTTTTTTTATCTTGTAACTTTCTTTCAGGCACTTCAGTCCAAAAAGCAACAAATAAGGTTAAAAAAGGAGCTATTTTAATATATCATGTGTGCTTCATTTTCTGTGCGAGAGGCTGTTGGGATGCCTATAGGTAAAACTGACAAGAGGAGAATGCAAGCAGGGAGGTTCTGATAGGTCAGCAAGTACCTAATTGCTCTGCCAGCTGGAGCTTGAGGAACCTGCAGGACTTGGCTCCAACACTTGTCATTCTGTAATAACTAATGTTAGACTTAATGGAGAAATCAGGTCACTGGTTGCTAGCAAAATGCCCATTTTATTACAGAGACTCCTTTCATCTGCTGTGCCTATAATACTTTTACAGCTCCATTAAAAAAAGATTTCATTTTCCCTTTACTGTAATGGCTTGGGTCATAAATGAATTAATCTATTAGTTAGTATTCAGGCAAACTCTACCGTTCTATCTATACGGCCCTCTTCATCACTGGTTAAGCAGGAGTTAATGGACTCTTAGAATTAAGTGACCTATTTGGAGTACAATAATTTCTGTTGGCCTCAGTTTGCAAGAATTTTGACGCCTCACTGCTCTGGTCAAGTGAATATAGCATCCTCCCAGCTAGGCCTCTAAGCCGTACACTAGCCTTTCCCTCATGTGTAACTAATTACTCCCTACCATGTAGCTTCAAGAGGAACTAAATAGCCTTTGTAGACAAACGTACAGTCCTGATGAGGGAAGCAGAGTCCTTCCTGATCATGGTTTTTCCAGTATCTTATCAAGCAGTGAGTTCTCAACAATGAATTAACAGATAATTTGAAATATAAGGTTATGAGGCCTTCTACCTATGAGTACCAGATGCTGGGGCAAACCACAGGAGAAGTTGGCCACCTCTGAGTTCTTGTGATCTTCCAAAGCCATAAACTTTTTGGATGGATCCAGCAAGGCATTTTTTTAATGTGCTTCAGCTTAAGGAGTGGAGTCGCTGTAGAATGTAGAAAGGAATGACATGGCTCTGATCAGTGCCTAGAGTCATAGTTCCCTAGTCACCTTTCTTCTGGAATTCATATCAAAGTGGAGATTTCACTTGAGAGGGCTGTATTTCATCAACAACTTGTGCCCCAGTGCGCTGAGTGGCCTAGATGTGGTTTCAGATCTGGAAAACTTGTTTCAAATCCGTGTTACGATAAGAGGCTCACAGCATGGCTTTGGGAAAGCCGCTATCTCCCAGCCTAACATTTAGGAGGAAGGCTAAATCACCATTCAAGGAGAATGACAGAATACAAAATATACCAAAATAACAAGATCTCCTTTGCAATATACAGTATACAGTATGGCCTATCTTCTGTAGTGACAGAGCACCGCTGCTAGCAAATATTTCACAGCAGGGAATTACAGAAGCATTTTTACCAGTGAGAAAAGCAGCTCTGCTTTTTTCCGAAGAATGCTTTCTTTTGAGAGAGAGATACTGACTTCAGTGTTTCCCTGTTGTGGAAAACACATAATTGCAACCCTGTTGACTAGGGTTTGATCATATCTGGCATACACAGAAACTTTGAAGCCATTTTGAGAGTAGGCAGATGGTGTTCTTTTCAGTCACTCCCTCTAATGCTGAACTTGGGTGACCTGTGCAAGCATCTTTGTAGGCAAAATGGGAACTGAAGGCTTAGAAGGCAATGACACATGTGTGCGGACAGGCCTGACTTTCTCTGGTCTCGTGTGAGCAGGGCTCACTTTCAAAGAAAACATTGTTCATGCGCTTGCTTCTTCGTGCTGGGGAGGGGAAACAGGAGGTAGAAGGCAGCAGAGAAGGGGGAAGAGGTGAATGAGCAGCTGAAGCGGATAAGGTGGAGAGAGGACTAAAAGGAAGGAAGAGCAAGATGGGGTCAGAATTGGGGGTCAAAGAGGCATTACACTTATTTCTGTAAAACAAGAAAATCCTTAATAAAATATATACTGAAACCCTTAAAAAAAGAAAAGAATTGGGGGTCAAAACCATGCTTAAAGCATGGAAGGGAGAAGCAGGCAAACTGTCCCCAACCCTATACCCACTAATCCCCCTGGCTCACCACCTACTATTCCACCACGCAGCACAAAACTTCCAGATAAAAACATGGCACGCCAAAGGCATATCCCGCCTAGCAGACTTCTGCAAAATAAACCCACATCGACACAAGAAATACAATAAAAACTTGGGAACACCCAAATACTCTGGCTAACGCACCACCAATTACATGTCTTCTTAAACAATCCAGTAGTAAAAGCATCAACCAGGCCCTTGACAACCTTTGAAAACCTCCTAACAGCAAAGGGACATGGCAAAGGAATGGTACCCACAATATACAAAATACTGCACCAAAATCCCCACACACCCCTTGATATAATAAAAAAAAAATGGGAGGACGACATAGGCTATGAGGTTAACCCCACCCAATAGATTGGGCATGGTCTAAACCCCCCTTTAAATCCATCTCAGCTAAAAGAAAAGAACTCGCCATGAAACTCACTTACAGATGGTACCTAACACCAAGGAAACTAGCGCCAATACACCCAGGAGCCTCACCAAAATGCTGGAGAGGCTGCACCTCCACAGGAACATACCTCCACATGTGGGAATGTCCCCAAATCCAACTTTTCTGGACATCAGTCATATAAGAAATACACAAAATAACTAAGAAGGTATTAGAAGTCACCACAGAACTGGCCCTACTCAACATCTTCCAAGATAACAATGCCCGTTCACATTATAAAGAGCTCATAACCCACCTACTCTCAGCAGCCAGAAACATCATAGCCAGGCACTGGAGAGAGCTGTCAGAAGTAAACATGGACCAGTGGTACCAAACAGTATGGGAAACAGCCTTACTAGAAAAGTTAACCAATAAACTGAAACTGACACAGGGACAAATAGAAGAAGACGCCTTCACTCCGGTATGGTTCCCCTTCATCACATACACAGCCCAAGAAGACAACAAGAATCCGCCAACAACATACAAATCAATCTGGCTAACCTGATCCAAAAACACGCACACACCTCTCTCACACACAAAAACAAATCTCACTAAAGTCAACCAACCAACCAACCCCTAGACCACCCACAACCTCCACAACCAAGGAAATATAACAAGTGAACAGAAAGATACAAGTGATGCTGACATAAAACCCCACACATACACTAAGTAGAAGAATAGAGGCATTATCACCCAACCCTACGCCATGTACCCCCCCTTCCCCCTCTTTTCTTCCCAACCTAATACTGCTTGCAACACTAATGTCTCACAACCAGGGACTTCCGGGTTGGCGCCATCGGTAATGGCGGATTCCCTCTGACTTTCCGAGGGACCAGCTCCGCGGGATCGGGTCTCACCGCTGCGGTGAAGCGGGTGCCCTTCAAAAATCACAGGCGGGTGAAGCCTGTGAACGTGGGACTCGGCAGGCACCCTTTGCGCCCCCCCAATTTGCGAAGGAACCCATTTATGGGCTCCGGAGCGAAACGGGGTGAGTGGCGCGGTGCTGAGAGTCGACTGCTTCATCCGCGGAGTGAAGCTGCACAGCCGTTATCGGAGAGCACTGACTTTTTCCTGGGACAATTTGGTTTCAAAAGCAACTACCCGTGAGTAGGATAAAATTGGATTTAAAGGGAGAAAAACAATTAATTTGGCACCGAAGCGGGGAGGCATAAGCAGGAAGTCCGCCTTCCGTTTCTTGTAAACAGATCAAAACAAAGAGACTGTAAGCGGAAACTCTGAAAGAAGCTTGAAAAAGGACTCAAATTCTAACATCAGATAAGCGATCTCCCCTCCGGATTGCAGGAGAGGAGGGGGGAAAGGTTTGAACTGTATTTTTCTGCAAAAAAAGAGAGGAAAGGAAGCTAAAATCCACCGCTTAGAGCCTGGGAACGGACTGCCTAGGGACAATAGGAATGCCGTTCTGTGAAAAGCACTACTGGTAAATAGAGTACTGTTGACAGCTAACTCTGCAAGAGAGATACAGTGTTTCTGGACTTCTCCTGGTTTTAAAGTAACTGGAGATTAAGTGCAATTGAAACTGTCATCTTTTTGTGAATTGGGGGATTTAAAAAGGTTATTTTCTCTTTAAAGCTACAAGTTTTGACTGTTACTGTGTCCCCCTAGAGGAGGTTTGACATTGTTACAATAACAACTGGGCCAGGGGAATTTTCCACTTCAAAACAAATCCTAGCCGTGGGACTGACCTTGGATTCTAACTAGAGTGTTATGGCAGATGGAAGAGGAAAGTTAGAGTTGCTTCAGGAAAAAACTACAAGGTCTGGTAGATCCTTTCATACAGATACTGGGTCGCAGTGGAGAGCATCAACATCTGGTCCGTCTGGACCATCTGGATTATCACGGGCTGCACCTGTACAAGTTAAACCAAAAGGAATGTCATCTGAAGACGTTTTAGCTTTGGCACTAGGAAAAATTAATGAATCTTTGGAAAACCTAAGTAAACAAGTAGCTGAAACAAATAAACAAGTAGTTGAAGCATCAGTTAAAATTGATCAAAATACTACAAGTATTAACAATTTGGGACAGAAGGTGAACACCAACACAGAGACTATTGAGAAATTGTTACAGGAATCTACTTTGACCCGAAAGACAGCTGAAGAAGCAAAGGACATAGCAACTGCTACTGAAGAGAAGATACCACCGATATATAGGCAACTCGAGGACCACAGGTTGATGTTGTCTATGATTGAATTGAAGGAGAAACAAACGAATCTGAGAA